GGGCAGGGGGTGGGAGGTTCCTTAATGCTGCAGCAGCGGCCTGAGTTCTGCCCAGGGCTGCCCCCAGGGAGCAGGGTACAGCCCAAAGAAAATAGGGGGTCACCTCCACCCAGCCTCCCTGGCGCTGCTGGGGAGCTGGGCTGGGCTGCTTGGGGCTAGGGTGGCCACTCTGGGGCAGGGAGGGTGGCATATGCTGTGAGGAGGGCAGGGTGCAGAGCTCAGGAGGGGCAATGCCCCCAGGTCCTAACCCCAGTGCTGCTGGCGCAGGGAGCTGGCTGAGAGGGGCATTTCCCATCACCCGTTACTCCTGACCTGACCCCCGCCGTTCCCATTTTCCCTCCCATACAGGGCCATGGAGGCAGAGCCGCCCACATCCCCACCCCCCACTGGCCCCCCGGTGCCAGAGCCGCCAGCCCCATCTGTCCCCCTGCCCCCGCATCGGTGCACCCTCTGCCGATGCCGCTTTGCCCGGCCCCATGGCCTCCGACAGCACCGGCGCCGGCATCATGATGCACCTGGCCCCCCAGCGGGCACTGAGTGTGGGCACCAGTGCCAGGTCTGCGGGAAGCGGTTCAAGTTCCCTTACTACCTGGCACGGCACAGGCTTACCCATGGTGGGCATGCGCCCTTCCAGTGCTCTCTATGCCCCAAGGCCTTCCGCCGCCCAGCCCACCTCACCAGACATGAGCGCACCCACGCCCGCCAGCACCCTCCCCGCACACAGGTCAGGCACCAGGGTGAGGGGCAGGTGCCACCAGCAGGCGTTGACACTGAGGAGGAGGAGGAGAAGCAGGTGCTGCTGCAGGAGGACTGGACCCTGTTGTGCCTGGCCTGTCATGAGGCCTTTGAGACCAAGGGCGAGCTCAAGGCCCACCGGTGCTTCAAAGCCCAGGGCCAGGCAGGCCTGGGGCTGCGGGTACCAGGCTCCAGGCCACACCAATGCGATGTCTGCCACAAATCCTTTGCTCGGCCCTGGTCCCTGTCACGCCACGCCCTGGTGCACACAGGTGAGAAGCCCTTTGCTTGCCCAGACTGTGATATGACCTTCCGCCTGCCCTCCTACCTCAAGCAGCACAGCCGTGTCCACCGTGCTGCCCCTACTGCCACTGCTGGGGGGCTGCCGCACCAGTGCTCATGTGCTCCCAAGGGCTCCCAGCAGATGGGGGAGCTGGCACTGAGGGGCCTGGAAGAGGAGGAATCTGTGGCCAAGGGGCTGGAAGGACCCCGGAAGACACATACATGTGGGGTGTGTGGAAAGGCCTTCAAGAGCCGCTATGACCTGGGCGCACACGGGCTCATCCACACAGGTGAGCTGCCTTATGCCTGTGCCCAGTGTGGAAAACGCTTCCGGCGCCCGTCCCACCTCACGCAGCACCAGGTGACGCACACGGGCGCCCGCCCCTTCCAGTGTGTCCTGTGCCAGAGGGAGTTCAAGCGCCTGGCCGACTTGGCACGCCACCGTCAGGTGCACCAGGGTGATCGCCCGCACCGCTGTGCTCTGTGCCACAAGGCCTTTGCCCGTGCCTACAGCCTGCTGCGACACCAGCGTGGGCACCGCTCACCCCCACCCACCTCCCCCACTGCCTTCCTCAGCAGCTCCTGCTTTGACAGCCAGGACGACTCGGCCTTCCGTGCCCACCACCCCAACGAAGAGGATGAGGAGGACATGGACCAGGGGGACATGGAGGGGGAAACTGCCAGGAGGGAGTCTGCTGGGAGGCTGTGATTATCAAGTGGGGACACCAGCGTGGGCACCGCTCACCCCCACCCACCTCCCCCACTGCCTTCCTCAGCAGCTCCTGCTTTGACAGCCAGGACGACTCGGCCTTCCGTGCCCACCACCCCAACGAAGAGGATGAGGAGGACATGGACCAGGGGGACATGGAGGGGGAAACTGCCAGGAGGGAGTCTGCTGGGAGGCTGTGATTATCAAGTGGGGCTGTGGCACCTGTGGCGGGGGGGGG